AAAGCGTGGACACTTTTTGGTGCGACATTCCAACGTGGGTCCATCGTCCTGCCTGCTACGATCCCGCACCCTCTGCCTAGGCCCGCCTCTTGCGATCCTACGAGTCAAAAAAAAAGATGCGCCGACCGGTGGGACCAATCTCGCGATCCATCCCCTCTGCGATCCCGCTCCAATCACGCGCACGCCCACACAGCCGCCTCCTCTACCACGAACCAGCAGCAGCAAGCGTCCCACGACCTGTGCGGCAATGATGGTGCCGCCCCCTTCATCAGCAGTGTGGCGTCCCCGGTGGCAGATCCGTGGGAGCTAGGCACAATATTTGTTAGGAGCGGCACGGGTCCCCTGTGCGTGCATCCATGGTGACCTTGGTGGCGGCGGCATGGCTCTTTGGCATGCTGGCAGTGGATCCACGAAGGATGGTGTGGCCTCCCAACATGCATGAACTGTGGCCTGGGCATTTGATTTGTGATGATGAAACTTCTTCCTCGAGCAGGGCTACATCGATCCACAAAGCAGGTATGACAGAGAGAAACCACACTATATATCCAGTTGATATCTCCATCCATTAATTTATTCGAGTTCCAATTTTCTATGTTATTGGCGATCCAAAATCAATGCTTCATTTCAGGAGGACAAATCCTCAGGTTTTGTGATGTCTTTAGGTGGGGCCTCCAGCGTGCTCGCACGGAGGAGGCCATCGGCGGCAGGAGGCGGGAGGTGGAGGGTGTCGAGCGGGGGAAAGAGCGGTTGCAGGAGCAGCTCAGGTGGCCGGGCGGGTGCTACCGCTGTCCAAGGCCATCGTCAACGCGCAGCAACAAGTATAGATAATCAAATCAATCCACACTATCGTGAATCTGAGTTATTTTGGTTCTTCCATCGTCAGATCTGACGGTGTTTCTGTGTGATCTCGGGTTATGGACCATGGCGGTGACTACTCCCAGGAATCCCGGGCTATGGACGTGCGCGTTCACCACGGTGGTGACTACTCTCAGGAATCCCTAGCCGCGACCGTGCCAGCAAGAGCAGGAGGACGCTGAGGACGGGGGCTGAGGGCAAGGATGTGGCGCGATGCAGGTGCTCGGTAGTTTCATTTTTAGATACTACTTCAAATCGCTGCTGCTGCTAACTTGGGAAAGAAATATCTCGAACCAAGCTGAGGCAGACTGAGGTTAGTTCCATTCAATTCGATTCAATTTCCAAACTTTTTTGAGTTTTCTTCTTTCAATCAATCTCTGAACAACATTCTCTGTGAACTGCATTGGTTCGAATTCTTTGGATGGAGTATTCAGCTATTCTCACTGAGTATTGGACTGAATTGTTCAGGCACAGGCTGAGCAGATGAAAAGCCTAGGCAAAGCAGGACCTGGCGAAGAGCCTGTGACTATACCTGAAGTGACATCAGTAGCTGGATGCTTCTTCAGAGCTGAAGCTGAAGGGAAACGAACGTGCCCTACTGAAAGACCACTACGACTGGCCTGAGTAAGAAGTGTCTTTTATAATTTTGTATTAGTGTCTATAATAAATATTTGTTTGAGGCCATCCATGTGGCTATAGAAGTTTGTCCATTTGGTCTATAGGGTTTAGGATAAGAATCAACAAATGTTCTATATTCAGTAAATTTTATCCTGCATGAAAGAAAAGGCTGCTTGCAACTCACCCTAATTTCACAGATATAGCCGAACCATCAATATTATCCTGTGAACTTTCCAGAGCGCAATGCAGTCATGACAGATCCAGAGGATTGCCCATCTTGACCAATAATAGCTTATCAGGCTATCATCACGACACGAAAACCTCTAGATTCTTAAAATGAGGCAGGAGTGTTCACTTTGATGTAACTGACCTTAAAACAAAAGGCTTGCATGTTTTTTTTTAATTCCCAACAAATTGACCAATACAAAAATCTCGCATGTGAAGATGTATTTTGTGTGAAACATTGTGTGATCTTCATTTGAGTCCCTTCAATATTGTGTGAAACATAGTGAGATCAAATAAATAGCATCATCAAATGAAGGCAGGTCAAGGATCGTTGTTTTGTCAATCTTGTATTTCTGCTGGAGCAGAGTAGCACATGTTGCTCGGTTTCAGAACAACTATTTTCATATTTCGTTTAACCTGAGTCTCTGATATTTACACACTATACAGTTCCTTGATTTTTTTTCACAAGATACCTATGACTCTATGCGATTCCTGGAATGCTTCACCACCAATAAATCTGACAATTACTTATACTGATGTCCTATTGGCTGCCTGAAACTCTGTCATGTCGTGCACTTATCTGTACTCAAGTTCTGCATCATTTGCTGTCTCAAACTTACTCATGCCTTTCACTTATCAGTACTCAACTTTTGTGCATGTGCAATGAATGGTTCGGATATGGAAAATGACTTCAAAAGTTGTTTCTTTTGGCTCCACGGTACAATTTAGTAAGAGAAATATTGAGCTGACGTCCTATATCTAAGGATGTCTATCAGTGGCCGGTAGCACAATTTACCAAGTATCAATGAACCTCCATGTCAAGGAGAAGGTTAGAGAGGGCAAAGTTGCTTTGGAGCATCATTTACACTAGATAAACTAAGAAGTACTCTCCTTTAGTAGATTGGTGAATACACGATCAAGATTTTGATGCCATATAATGGAAGGCTACAATTTTCATTGGCAATGAAGGAATATACTCGAGTAAAGTTTATCTGTGCACAAATTTATCTCATTGTACAATTGATTATCAAACTATTTAACATGTTTAGTTTGTTTGATTTACAATATTACTACTAAATGTCACTTCTTCTACACTGATAAAATTGGAGGTAGCAGTATAACACACATTCATACTTATGCTATTGTGGTATTATTTGTTTCCTATTGAAATACACGGGCAAACATTGCGCAATCTACATAGTATGACACTGTTGCATCTCATGGAGAAGCCATGATGCCTACTCACCGATTTAGATAAATAAGTAATATTAAGATTATTTACATGCTTTTGACATGCACTTTCAATAAACGATGAACAGGAATTTAGTTCAATAAGAGCCACTTCGTGGCTTTTCATTTGTCAGAAAGATTCAAAATATGTAGATTGCGCAATGTTTGCCGACGTATTTGGTTGCTCCATTTAGTTTTTAATAATCAAAGTATCCAGACTATTTAATATTTCAACCATGAGCTTGGTTGCTTGATTTAATTTATATAATGATCAAATTATTCAAAGCAATGTTGCTGCTTCACCATTAGCTTGGTTGCTTGATTTAATATTTCTACATGCTCATTTTAATTACTTTACTAATAATAGTGTGCTCTCTTATATGACAATAACCATCATCTGTGTCTAATGCTTTGCAGAAGGCCTTGGGTTAAAGGTTTTCATCCCTCCATAATTGCGCTAAGTGTCATGAACCTACAAGAGTTGTTAATGAACGATCGAGGCATCTCACTGTTTCAACTTAAGTGTTCGCTTTCAGGCAGCTCGAGAGTACATAACACTAAAACAATACAATAGTGTTATTAAGCATCACATGGACCTGAGCTTATGTGTAAACATATTTTTATAATTATTATCGTGCTATATTATATTGTCTTATTTGTTGTTTTTCTAATTATATAAAATAGGCCAAGTTATACTAATCTAGAAAATGTGTGCTTTAACAAAAAGTCCAGAATATCGTAAAAGAAACAGTACGAAAGAAATGGCTGTTGCGATTGGTGTATGTGAGAATATAGAATACAACTTATCACAGTGTAGATATGTAAGTGCTCCTGCTTTTATTACTTGTTTCTTATATATTATTCTAATCGCTACCATGTTTACAGTTTCTTTTGCCATGGCTATACGTTGGAAGATATATCCTTTATGTTTTCGACTAGCAGAAGAAGACGTTTATTATGATTGACTCTAGACATGTTGAAAAGTGGTGTAAAGATATATTAGTGCTGATGTATGCCAGGCAAACTCTTGGATTTAACTTGCAGAACATGGCCACAGTGAATGTACTTATCTGGATGGAACGAGGATATCTTTTAATGGAAATTCATCCGTGAAAAAAAATATTATAGCTGATATAGATGGGTGACTAAGAGTCACCGCTGCTTATAATAATAATACCTATGATTTAACTATTTCTATATATTGTTAATGGTGAATCTTGACACAGACACTCAAGTAGATACTTTATTCTACAGTATATATCTGTGTGGAATAGACTTAACATATATTTATACGGTGACTATAACATACTTTATTTTATAGTTTTCTGAGAGATTTTTCAAGACACGTAGTATTACCCATATAACAGGCACTAATATTTACATATGTACTTAAACATGTATACAGGATGGTATGGAGATGCAGAGGAACTTATTCGTGGAGTTATTGGCGCACGAAAGAAATGGATATCGGAGATTTCTTCCTGCCGATATAAAATATTATTTTAGCCGCATCATAGAAATGTCTATACAGTAGAATTTGTGAGCCTGCAACGCCGCTCTCTCCGCAACTGTGTTAATTTCACGAACTTTGCTTTTTTGATTAAATGTCATTTTAACGTCGATATTTAATTTTGCAGTATTGTTAACTTATCATGCGATATGTGTGCTTTTAAATAAAAAATTTAGTTATCCCGTAGCAACGCACGAACACACTACTTAGTATTGAAAAAACCCAGACTCTGATAAAGAAAGCCTTATTCCAAGTGCCTGTTAAAATATCACCTTAGAAAACCATGACGGTATCATAAATAACTTGCGTAGAAGTACTCCCTCCGTCCCATATTATAAGCCGTTTTGTTTTTATTACGTATCTAGATATAGTGTATATTTAGATGCACAACAAAAAAGACATATATAGAAAAGTCAAAACATCTTATAATTTGTGACCAAGAGTATGCCAAGTTTCACACAAACTTTTCTACTACCTTGAACTATGTTGGAATATGTCAGCTAATTAATTAGCACAGGCATGGTCAAAATGCTAGCTCCGCCACTCTCTCAGACGCAGACGTATGCTCGTGCATCAACCCACGTCGGCAAGACACCAACCAACTCATATACCGTCGTCCAACCCTCTTTCTTCCCCTTCCCCTTCCCCTTCCCCACCAAACCCTACATCTCCATCCACCGATAGACCCCTCACGCTCGCCTCCAGCCTCCCCATGGCCTCCATCGCCAGCGACAGCTCCCCGCCGTCCCCGGGCGCGCCGGCCTCCGCTTTCCTAGACGACCACGCGCTCTTCCTCGACCAGTCCACCAGCTCCTTCTTCCCCGCGGCCACCACCACGCAAGAGCCCCTGCCGCCTGCCTCGGCCTCGGCCTCATCGCCAGCGGCGCGCAAGCCGCCGCGGAAGCGCCCACGGGCGTCGCGCCGGCCGCCCACCACCGTGGTCACCACCGACACCTCCAACTTCCGCGCCATGGTGCAGGAGTTCACCGGCATCCCCGCGCCGCCGCCGTTCGCGCCCCACCTCGGCCCCGGCGTGCTCTTCGGCGCTCCCCACGACCCCACCGCCGCGGCGGGCACTTCTCGCGCGCCCTTGGAGCTGTTGATGCGCCCGTCGCCTCTCAAGCTCCCTGCCGCTTCGCACGCCTCGCCTCCCGCCGCTGGTTCATTCGCGCACTCCCTGTTCGCGAGCAGCAACGCGAATCCTGCTGGCCCGAGCTCCGAACCGTACGGCGGCTTCGTGCCCACGCTCTCCGGTGCCGTCCCGCGGTACGACGGCGGCGGCGGCGGCGGCGGCTTCGATGCGGCGGAAGACGAGAGAGTACTGGGACATGGCCATGGTCTCTTCTCGTCTTTCTTGTACGCCGGGGATAGGTATCACAGCCACTAGCACAGGATGCTTGCCTGCGTGCAGCTGGAAATTAAGAGAGCAAGATCCGACGTCTTGCTTCTTGCTTCTTCTTCTCGGACACCACTGGGCTTATACTCGTACATGCGTCATGCGTGCTAGCCATGACAAGGTTAATTCAACATATACAACGGTATGTTTTGTTAAATAATTCTTCTTGGTTTATTTTGGTATATGAGAGATATAAATATGAGACTTCCATGCATCTCCTATTTTGTTTTTGTTTCTTGGAATGGAAATACTCAATGCACCGTGGATTACTGGTGTTTGTATTCTCGGTTAGGCTCATGTCCCTGTCGAAATGAGATGATACGATGAAACTCTTTCTTATGGTCATTGCATTCTCTTCCTATTCAAAGTACGAACTGTGGAAACTTATCTTTATTTCCAATACTCTTTGTATTTGGGGGACAATTCAGTTTGTGCTTACAATTCTGTTCTACTTGGTTTAGCTTAAATTGTCTTGATGACCATGTTTCAATGGGGGAAATAGTGTAATACAACGTACTCAACGAATTCTGTTCTACTTTTTTATTTAATTAGATGTGAAGTACTCCAAGCAACAGAGCTATCAATAATTTTTGCCAGTAAATTTTGTGCATATGGCAATTGAGCAACAGGTAGGGAACTTTGGTTGAGATATATAAAGTTTTGACAGAGCCCATGGGAAGGACTTGAGTTGTGCTCTTGATCATGATAATTATATATACACACATGTCGGCAAAAATGTCCTTGACGTATCAATTCATTTTTCTTTTACCAATAACCAATCCGTATAGTCTATTAAGAATGATCATGTGTGCTGTGAGAACACATGAACTGTTGCATGCACACTCTGATGTAGTTAGGTTCTTATAACACAAGATTAAAAAAAAAGTCATCAAGGAATTGCCGCCATCTAGCTAGCGCAAATAAGATGGACTTCAAATCTCACTGTTCCATAAGATTGCACCTGAAACAGCAGCTGTAAGTGTACTGCTGGAACTGATGGTGCTATAACTATGTACCTCTGTGCCAATACTATCATCACGTGAGCATAGTTGAATTGGTACAGGTACATCCATGTGGAAAATCAATTGTGAATGTGCGTATATATACATGCATGTACCTTTGCTGCATTCATATGGACTTCGTACAAAAGCATATTTCTGATGCTGAAACTCCATATATAGCATCATCAGTTCGTTCTTTCTTCATTGCAAAGATGCTGGCAGCAGCACGCATCAGTGATAAAATTCAGGGAACCGAACCTTTGGAACGACGAGGCAAGATGATTTTAACTTTTTAGCACTGTGACACGAGGATATCGTTGCCTTGTCCGGACCCGTGAAAACAAAGACAGGACGCGCGGTAGGATATATATCGTCTGTTTTTACACATAAATATGCATGTCCATGCCCTGCCCTGTTCATGTTATGATGATCTGGATGTTCACTGACCAACCTGTGTTGTGGCCTGAAACATGCATGAAAACCACATGCTCCATGCTGGACCGTGTAGATATTTCGTATGGGGCCTACTTGTAAAGTCGCAGTTCACAGGCTATAAGAGAACATGGTTTCTTATCACTTTGATCTCCACTGTATTCTCCTCTCCATGTGTGTATCGAGATCGAGTCGGAAATTAATAACACTGCTAACATCTTTTTTTTTAAGGAAAAACACTGCTAACATCTGAAGAACGGTTGGCAACTCTGGGCTGAAAAACTGAAAAAAAGAGAGGTATGTTTCGTCTACGGGCTGGAAAGCTAAGTAGTCAGGCCCAACCCAAGTACTCAACTCGGGCTGGTCCATTGACCACTGTAAGCCCATGGTCTTTTTAAAGCCAGCACAGGCCCGGCCCATGCCAGCGGTTCTTCTCCAGCAATAAAGCCCATTTGATTCCCTTTCTGTGTGCGCACTGTTTGTGTTCCCCTTTGATCGACTGATAGGCCAGTTTGGAAGCAAGAACAGCCCTAGCCATGTCCATGAGCAATGCCAACACTGGCCCCTTGCTCACCTCAAGAGCTAAAGTTACAGCACAGCAAGCACACACCACACACCACCAATGGCCCCGTTCTTGTTGCCATTGGAGCTTGCACTCGCTTGCCAAAAGTTACACGCACACCTAGTCACCAGCACCACCCACCTCCGATCTCCAACTCCATGGATATATAGCTCCGTGTCCAACTGTCCATGCAAGTATAAATATAGCCCCGTCGACTCGTCACAACAAGTTGTGGCGCTACCGTACTACCATATCCATGGATGGTGACTGCGTCGTCATCTGCCATCTCCAGTGCGAGATTAGCTCCGTCAGCATAACGGGCCTCGGTTGCGGCGGAGGTGAGCTCTTCCTCCGGTGGCACGTCCCGGCCGGCGGCAGGAGGGCAATCCAGATAGACAGCCTCGGCGCCGAGCAGACGGACAGAGGGGAAACGACGACGACGTGGCGTCGCTGAGCTGCGACGGTTCGCCGGCCTGCGTTCGGCAGCTCGTGGACCAGGGCAGCGTCGTGTTAGAGATGCGGAGGCGGCGGGGGCGCGCGGCGCTGCTGGGGCGGGTCCTGGGGTCCGAGCTCGTGGGCCGTGCCGAGGTCCCCTGGAGTGCGACGGTGGAGCGGCGAGTCGAGCTTGCAACGCCGAGCAGCCGGCGGGTCCCGGGCGAGGAGGCGGCGCCGCCAGTGCTGTACGCGAGGATCAGCGTGCGCGCGTCGGAAACGGCGGCGCCCGCCAGCCGGAGGCGAGCGGACTCGTCGGCGCACCAGGAGAGCGGCTGCGAGTGGAGCGTGGGCGACGAGGACGTGTTCGCGGCAGTAGCTTGTGCTGTTGACGATGCGTTTGAATAGCTACCCCAGTCCCCAGTTTGGAACTGCTGTGATCTCAAACTAGGATCGGATTTCAGTTAATTTGAATAGACTGGGTCAAAATTTACGTCATTTTCGATGAGCTCTGGCCTCTGACTTCAGTCAAGCACATGCATACGCAGTTCTTGATCTTGTCGCTGTATATCGTCTCAGAAAAATACTGCATTCATTTTGCAGGGATCAGGGAAGTAGGAATGTACGATGCTTCGTTCTTATGTAGGCCTCCTTTTGTAATGTGCAAAAAAAAAACAAAAAAAACTTATGATTCCAATTTCTACGAATTAAGTTCTTGTAACATCCTTTAGTTCGTAAGAATCGCTTGCATGAATAAAAAATATAGAAAATTTTCCTTTGTATTCAATTTCACATGAAACCCATTTCTTGTTTAGTGTGTTTTTCCCACCGCTCATCAAAACACTTATCCCTGCAAAATTCTTGTATTTTTATCGTTTTGTTTTACATATGCATTTCTATTCTATTTATGTCTTCTTTTCTATTCCTGCATTCTTTGCTCCAAAGCGTGCTTAGATTATTGGAGGATTTCTAAAGAACTACAAAGGATTTTCTGTTGACTCAGACTCAAGTACCTACTTGCATACTGTTTATCTTTTCTGGGGTAAGAATTTAGGTGGAAAACAAAAAGAGACTAGTAGATTTGAACCGTGGTTATAAATTACAATTACAAAACTGCAATGCTACCCTGCTTCCTGCAGGCACCGCCTCTGGCCTGAATGAAGAAGTCTGAAAACCACTAGCTGGACGATTTTTGGGTTTGGGTCTCAAAACCCGGTTGGAGTTCCGGCAGCACGTGGCATCATTGCGAAGTTTGCGTCAAGGCGAAGCAAAGTCGTGAAGAGTGCATGGTCGTCGGATGCTTCTATCTCAAGTTGGACCATTATACCCCTAGGGTTAAGTGGTTCAGCTAAATATATATCTAAGGGCATTGTTGGGAATGTGTAATACCTCTATAAATAAGGTAGAGGCTGCCCTCAACCAGCCATATCTTCAGCACTTCATTTGCTTCCTCCTCCGTTAGGTTTTCCCCTCCCTCTAGTCTATTGCTAAGATCCACGTATGATTTAGACAATGCAGAAATCCTTCATCTGTGTAATATGACCTTGTAATCAGTGAATTTTGTGGGAATGGAGGCTCTTACCTCCTAGGTTCATGGTGGCTCAATCTCGTGTGTTGCTAAGTTTTGATTTGCGGATGATTTAGTTTTGAGTTTTTACCTTCCCGAACCCTCTTCTTTGGATTTTGGATGATTTCGCTTTTCGGGAACTCAAAACTGATCCGGGTGTTGAGATACGAGCTATGACCCTTGAGAAACATATTTGGAAGTAGATTTGACTAGATTCCTCACTCCTGTGCTAAAGTCGTACTTTCTTGTGGGCCTCCCAGTACAATGTCATGTAGAAGACCATGAAAATGTTGATTAGCTACTTGAAGAATGAGTCCTTATCGACGTTGTCGGCAAAGAGCGGCACCACTAGCGCAAAGTACTCAGGGAGGTTGACGCCCTCGAAGAAGGTCTTGCTGACCAGCTTCAGCCCCTGGATGATGTTCACCAACGCATGCGCCTTCACTCATGTATCCTTACTTGGCTTACTCTCCACAATGAGGAAAGCTTGGCTGACGAGGATCAACTCCTGCCACGACCATGACAGATTATCATAAGCTTGTTTATCTTAACACCACATCATAAGATCGGACCGTAACAAAACTGTTGTTGTACCTTGAGAATGTTCCTGTGGACAGGCACTTTAGCCAGCAGAAACTCCACCATTCATGTGCAGTCATTGGCGATGCTGAAGGCTCCGTCCATCAGCATGCAGTTCGGTTAGGCTTCCCACCAAGGCCACTTGACACTGGGAAGGCTTGAATAACTCCATCTCCAAACAAAACGTCGTGGTCAACTGGCACATCGCTGCCTCCTTCATCATCATCTGAACTCTCTAAATCACTGCTAACTTCATCACTAATCCTTTGATGCTCCAACCCGTCCCGCTCGTATGAACCCACATTGAAGTCGCCATTTAGACGGCCTACTGAAAACCTAGATTACCCACTGCCATTGGAGAGGAATGAAGTTGCTCCTACGCCAACTGACCGTCCAAATCCATATTCACCGATGTTGCATCCTATTTGACCCCCCCATTGTTGTTCATCGCCTCCAACTCCATCAAAAGATGGCCCATCCTCCTTTCCGTAACCATTCTCCAGCACAATCTTAGCCATGGTCACATTTGACCCTTCGATTACCCTTATGTAGTGTGACCATTGACCCTCGTTGCGCAAGGGCATTAAGACGAAGGGTGTCCTAGTCTTTCCACCATCAAACCTCACCTTCAATGTGAAATCACCATCAAACTTTTCCTTCACACGCAACAAAATGTCACTGAAGCTAGGAGGATCATCAAACATTTCCAATTCTTCCTCCATATCTTCAAACACCCCATCTTCTTTTTCTAACACTTCCTCCATAAAGCAGATAGACTAAATAATCCATCTACAAAAGCATTTCAACAAACTGCATCAAGTCTTCAAAATCGTCGTAGCGATTAAAACAGGGGCCACTAACTACATATAACCTATGCATAGTAATCTAACTATATATAAATACGATCTAACCTAACTTACCTAACTACATATTTTTTCTACATATAACCTAACTAACATATAACCTACCTAACTATGTATACTAACTAAATATACTAACAATACTAACTAAGTATACTAACCATACTAATCTAAAAAACTAACTAACTAATACACATTTTATCTACCTAAAGCAACCTTCAAATGAACCCTAAGTTCCATTAAACCCTAACAACCATTAAATCAAGGGTGAATCACAATTTATACAAAAATCAAGATAGGATTTACCTGTACTAGGAAGCGGGGAACAGTCGGGGTTAACCCAAACCTAGCTCGGGCGGCGGAGAGGGACGCCGCTGGCCCCTGGCCACGGCTGACGAGGAGCAGTGGGCGGTAGCACCACGAGGGGGATGAGGGAGAGAGGGCCAGTGCCGGAGTGAGAGAGGGAGGCCGAGGTAGTAATGGGGAGGGAGAGAGAGGGCTGGGTGCGGGCCAAGGTGGAGACAGACGCTGTCGGTCTGGAGCGGCGCGCTCGCTCTAGTGCGGATAGAGAAGGGGAGGGAGCGACAGAGAGAGAGGGGGGAACCCCGCTGAGGCTGTGTAATTCCCAGTGGCGCGCGAGGCGGGTTGGTGCGGCAGAGAGGGCCACGTCAGCAGTCATCAGCCTGCTGACCGGCCACGGTGGCTGTCCAGCTGCGCCATGAGGCTTGGTGTGACATGTGGTTTCACCGCGCCATGGACTTAGGCACGGCGATTTGAAAAAATAAACCGTCTTATTTATAAAAATAGTATTAAAAAAGATTAATAAAAAAATCTAGGAATGTAGGATGCTTGGTTCTTATGTAGGCCTCCTTTTGTAATGTGCAAAGAAAACAAAGAATTTGCCAAAAAAAACAAAGAAAAAACTTATGATTCCAATTTCTATGAATTAAGTTATTGTAGAATCCTTTAGTTCATAAGAATCGCTTGCATGAAAAATATAGAAAATTTTCCTTTGTATTTAGTTTCACATGAAAGCCATTCTTGTTTAGTGTGTTTTTCCAACCGCTCATCAAAACACTTATCACTACAAAATTCTTGTATTTTTATTGCTTTGGTTTACACATGCATTTCTATTCTATTCATTTGTGTTTTTTCTATTCCTACATTCTTTGCTCCAGAGGGGGCTTAGATTGGAGGATTTCCGAAGAACTACAAAGGATTTTCTGTTGACACCTACTTGTATACTGGTTTCCTTTTCTGGGGCGAGTATTTAGGTGGGAAAAAAGAGACCAGTAAGTTTGAACCGTGGTTACAAATTAGTGAATTACAATTACAAAACTGTAATGTTACCCTGCTTCCTGCAGGCGCCACCTCTGGCCTGAACGAAGAACTTGTTAGAAAGGGAGGGGAATGAATTTTGCATTAGCTGCTGTCACGTCAGCAAAGCCCAATACAAAGTTGGGCCTGTATGGATCTCTTACCTCATTCGCACACCAAGATCCCAAATGGCTTTCCTTGGGCTTGGCCCATGAAAGAGGTTGGCTTGGATGAGTTTCAACGTTTTCGTGGGCCGCGTAAGCTGCAGACGGTGCACGGTAACCATCCTCTACCGGCCGGCATCGGCGGCATGCACAAACTAGCTAGCGTTGCCATTGCCATTCCCAAACTGCGGATAGTATACTCCGGCAGTAGTAGTACCGCAAGCAAGTCGATAAGCCACCCTTTGCCTTAAAATTTGCTGACGCCCGACTAATAAACCCCTGCATTGGTACCCTGTTTTTAGAAACATGGCACCACGAGATTTCAGCTATCCTGTCGGTATGCAACTGTTTACTCGGTTCGATCGTAAAGTCAAGTTTTTTTTCCCATTCAACTATCCTGTCGGTATGCAACCTTTTTTTGTGAAATTAGTAGTTATCCCTAGACGTACATCTATTTTAATCATACAGAATCCTACAAAATTGTACGTACACCCACCCCTCTAAACAAACCCACATAAATCCTAGCCTTACGAGCATCCATGAAAAACTAGAGCAGATTGCAGATGCATAATTATCGATTGACACGTCGTTTATAGCTGAAAAATAGCACTGTTAGATTGTCAACAAATTCTAAAATATACGAGCATTCATGGTAAGTCAATGACTTGGACCTAGAGACAGCCTCCACCACAAAAAAAATTAACTAATTGATCTAGGCTTAATTTGCACAATTTTCTGTACATTAACCGTGGAAGTTTGATATTTCCAAATTTGTCAGGACAAGTGCTTTCATAATATTGTAACTATTTTTATTTGATATTAAGTAATTAAACATATGCGAAAGAACATATCGATATCCTAATAAATTTGTACCGCCTCCATCCTAAATTATATAGCTTTATTTAAGTCGAAAATCTTTAACTTTGAACAACTTTATATGAAAATATATCATGCCAACGTCTACTAGTCCAAATAAAATACTACTATGTACCATCATAATATATTCCATGTAGGATTTAGTAAAACTGATTTAGAATTATAGATATGTTGGTAAATTTTCTTTAATTTTCGGTTCAAGTTAGAGAATTTGTGTTTAAGAGGAGTATTTTTTTTCTTAAAATAATGCATTGTCACGTTGTCGCACTCTCGCTCCGCCAGGCAACGACGACGACTTTTTAGCAGGAAACGCCTGTTTCCATGTTGGTCCGCACGCCATATGTTCCCGCCACGGTATCGAGCAAGGCATTATTTGTGTCAGTGACAACTCCTATACCACGTTCATGTTTATCCGTAGCCTCGTGGACCTAGGCTGTCTGCCTGCTACCTGAACAAATACCTGACGTCTAAAGCCATGTTTAATTTCCAAAAAATTTACCATAAAGTGTCACATCGAATTTTACGGCATATGCATGAGTACTAAATGTAGATGAAAAACAAAACTAATTACACAATTGGGTGAGAAATCGCGAGACAAAACTTTCGAACCTAATTAGTCAATAATTAGACAATAATTACTAAATACAAATGAAAGTGCTACAGTAACCGAAAAAATTTCCACCATCTAAACGCGCCCTAAAAAGAATCCAAATTCTCCAGACTCATGAGATGGCGAAGCCGCCCTTTTCCCCCCTTTTCCTGGTCCGTAGTCCACGACACGTATCTCACTCGCAATCATACGACGAGATGCATGTGCAGACGCCATACGAGCAGCTGAAAGCTCTGACCACAGACAGATCAGAGGCCGAGCCGATCGAGGCCAACAAAGGCCCTGTTTGGATTCAGGGGCTAGAGCTAGTTTGTGCTAGTTTGAGCTCAACTAGCCCAAAAGTATCCAAACGGGAGGGATAGAGTGGGTTATTTGCAACTAGCCCACCCAAAAAAACTATCCCCAAAAGAGGTGATTATTTGGGCTAGTTCTGGTGGGGCCCACTGAAAACTCTTATTTTTTTTATTACTCCACCGGTCCACCCGCACCGGATCCTCGCCACTCAGATCCCCCATCGCGACTAGCTTCCCCCCTTCGCGACTCGCGCCGCCGCCGCCGCTTCAATCCGCCAAAGGAGCAGCGCCGGCGGCCCCCCGGAGGAGGATCTCTGTCGCCCGCGCCGCCTCCCTCCCTCTCGCCGCGCCCTTCCCCTCCGTCGGCGAGCGATGGACGGAGACGGATTCGACTTGTGGAGCTCGCAGCCGTCGGCGAGCGGCCTTGCCCGCGCCGGTCTCGACCTCAACTCGCAAGCGCCGGCGGCGGAGGGGTTCCTGGGGATTCGGCTGTACGAAGACTTCCTCCAGGGCGATGACGTCGAGCTCCTTCCTGGACGCGGCAGGGGCTCCGGCCTCCCTCCCTATCGCCCACCGCGTGCCGGAGCAGGAGACGCGTGGGCGACTCTGGCGCCCCAGCAAGCCCGACAACTGCTCTTTGGTGGCTCCTCCTCGGCGGCAGCCGGTCGCGGAGGAGGAAACGGTGGCGGCTACACCGGCAGGTCGTCGTCGGGGGTAGGCGGTGGTGTTCGACAGCGCACTAACTCGGCCGCCACAGCAGCCGCCCGGCGTCCCCAGCGTACCAACACGGCTTCTCGTGGCAGCGGTGGCCAGGGCGTACCGCTTCCCCGAGCACCGAGGGCACCGAGGAGTGGCGTCCGTGGGCAAGCATCCGGCTCCGGCGCTACCTTCAACATTGACGATGAAGCAATGGAGGATGACGTGGAGGAGTTAGCGAGCTCCGGCGGTCCCCCGGTGAGCCATTCCAGTCGAGCCCAATGGAATGATGCAAATAATGCTTGCTTGTTAGAATTGTGCATAGAGCAACGTAGAGCAGGAACGTATAATGGTTCACAAATGAGTGGTGAAGGGTATCAAGCCATTGTCGATGGCTTACTTGCCAGAAGAAGGTTGGTGTACACCCGTGGACAAGTGAAGAACCAAATAGGCGTATTCAAAAACACCCACGCTTTCTGGCGCTACTTGCAAACGCACACAGGGTTGGGGAGGAGACCAGATGGATCCATTGATGCAGATCATAATTTCTGGCTAACTCACACAGAGGTACAATATTACTTAGCATATTTTTGTGCTCTCATATGCTTGGTTACTCTATGCTTGCTTCAAATTTGATCAATGCAAGTCGTTGCACATATGTGAGTTTTCTTTTAGCAGTTCGACTTTTCTAGATAATTGGTGGGGCAAGAGCCCCCCAATCTAGATAATTCTGCAAAATGTGCACTTTCATCTTAGATGCCTGTAAATGCTTGGAAATTAATGGAAGGAGGGTGTGAGTTAGTTTACACAATCATCTTAGCAACCTATTTACAAAATGTAAAATTACAGCGACTATCTACATAGGATGCCCAATGAAGGCCACTTGTCTTGTTTGCCCTCCTACCGCTTCATGTTCACCTACTGATAGGCTTGGTTCTGGTTCTTACATGTTTGTGTTATCAACGAATAAAATGGATTACATCTTGGTACTGATGCACTAAGGACAGTAGCTGGTGATTTTTCAGATGTCACAGGTCATTCGATTAGTTCCAGTCATTTGACAGTGTGCGTATTGAAATAAAAGTTCTTATTTCCATGTAGCCATGTCCTGTTCTTCATGGCTGTTGCTATCTATTTGCTGGTCACAAAGTCAGTTTTATACTTTTATACATCTATATATAATTATTAAAAGAATCGAAATTTGAACCAACACTGTCAATGAATAATTTGCAGTGTTATTATTTCTGCATGTTTATTTCTTGATCGATTCAGCATATGAACTTTGGCAGCAGGCCAGGTTTCTTGAGGCTTGTCAGGAACGAAACGTCAATTGCTTCTGAGTTGAGCTGTCCGTTCTGAGCATCAACGTCACCCCCTTTTTCTAACTTTGTTTGGGTGATCGGCAGATTCGGATCAGACCAGACACTCTAGAGGCCAATCTTTAGTCATCTTTCGTCTATGAGGGAGAACGACCTTGTCATGTAGTAGTAGAAAAGATCAATTCAAATGGCTCAACGATCAGATTAGTGTTTAGATATACTCTTTAGAACTGGTCATTATTGCCACCAACTGTGGTTGGGCTGTCATAACTAGTTTCTCCTGTGGAGTCAATGTAAACAGCTGATAACTAGTTTGCTGTGCTCTCATAACTAGTTTCTCATAACTAGCTGATATTTTTCATCTTTATTGTAAACAGCTGATATTCTCCTGTCATAACTAGTTTCTAATCAACTTTTGTGCTCTCATATCTTAACAGAAAAAACCATACTTAAAGAAGCTTCTGACGAGTCCTCCAGCAAACGAGGACTTGCTTGATGAACTGTTCAGAGGGTACACTGTGGATGGCACCACAGCCTTTGTGCCTGGTGATGATTATGGTGACAATGAGGGGCAAGATGCAAGGACAGAAGATGAAGAAGAAGAAGAGTTTGCACAAACACCTACAAGTAGAAGCAGCTAGAGGAGTCAGAGAGGCAAGAGGGCATTGAACAGCACTACAAGCACTTTGACCAGTCCAGTGAAGAGGAGCAAGAGCCCAATGGTGAAGATTGTGAAGGACATAGCCAGTACCTTCAAAGAATCTGTCGCAGCCAACACTAAGCAAATCCAGAAACGTGCAAATGACAAGGCTGCATTTTCTGTCAAGAGGTGTCAGGAGCTGGCATTTGAGTGTGGCGTTGAGAAAACCGTTGACTCTGTCTATGCTATGTCCAAGATGTTCGAAACAGGGTACCAAAGGGAATTCTTCTGTGGCCAATTAACTCTTGAGCTTAGGTTGGGTTACTTCAAGAAATGGTGCAGGGACAACAATTTGGAGTAGTTAGGATCTTTTCGGTCCATGTGTGTTGAACCTATCATATAGCTATGTGCGTGTGAACTATTATCTGTGTGGTGTAATGATACTTTATGCTATGTGTTGAACCTATTTAAACTAATCTATGAGCTGTGATGTCAAGTGTTGAAGTATTAATTTATTGAATTAATTTGCTTACCCTAGTTCAAGTTTTATGCTATGTGCTGATAGTTTGTTACACGTGTTGAAGCAGGAAGATGATCATGACCCCATGATTGAGGAAGAAGAAGATGATGGAGGTAGCTCAAGTGAGGATGAAATTATATCCATGTGCAGCAACAAAATTTGATTCTGCAGTTGGTACCTATCTTGGGTATGTACTCTGATAACTACTTCCTGAAACTACCTAAGAGGGTAACTGGAGATTCTGGTTTGGATTGGGTGCATGAGACACTAGCCCGAGAAACCCAATGTTACAACATGTTTAGGGTTGAGAGACCTTTATTTTACAGGTTGCATAATACTTTGGTCCAGAGGTATGGGTTGAAGTCCACTAAAAAATGACATCTGTAGAGGCTCTTGCTATGTTTTTATGGATTGTTGGTGCACCACAGTCAGTTAGACAGGCTGATAATCGTTTTAGGAGGTCTCTGGAGACAGTAAGCAGGACATTTAACATAGTTTTGAGGTGCCTCCTTAGGTTAGCACATAACAACATTAAACCCAAGGACCCAACATTTCCAGAAGTGCACCCAAACTTAGAAAATCCAGCATTCTGGCCACACTTCAACGAGTGCATAGGAGCTATAGATGGGACACATGTGAAGGTTGTGGTGGATAAGAGTAAGAGAGTTCCATACTTGAATAGGCACAATGAGACCAGTCAGAATATGCTTGCTATTTGTGATTTCGACATGAGATTTACCTTTGTCTTGTCGGGATGGCCTGGTTCAGCACATGACATGAGAGTTTTCAAAGATGCCATAACTACTCATCATCACAAATTTCCACATCCACCGTCAGGTTTGCTACTTGAACTTTCTTGCAAATTTTTTTATCCATTTACACTTGTTCATCTAAGTCTCATTGTGTGCCTTTGAAAATATGTAGGGAAGTATTATGTGGTTGATGCGGGGTACCCAAACCGGCCGAGCTACCTTTCACCATACAGATGTACAAGGTACCATGTGGAGCAATGGCAAAACGGCCCGCCGCCACAAGGTATGAAAGAAACCTTCAACCATGCACATGCCAAAGTTAGGAATGTCATAGAGCGAACTTTTGGAGTGTTGAAGATGAAGTTTAGGATTTTGTTGAACATGCCAAGATTTTCAGAGGAGAAGCAAACTAGAATTATTGTTGCTTGTATGGCTCTTCGTAATTTTATTCGAGAGAGCAGAATTACGGATAGAGAATTTGATGCCTGTGATGCGGATGAAAATTATAACCCAATGCCTAGTTCTTCGGCATCAGCATGGCCAGAAGATGAACCTCTTGTTGAAGATGTGAACATGAATGCCTTCCGTGATGAATTAGCTCATGCTTTGTTTCATAGAGTATAATTTTTTTGTTTAGCTTGATTGAGGACTTGTAAGTTTGAGTGACACATCTCATATGTATGGACAAATTAAAATTTATTGTGATTTGGATGCTTGATTTGTACAAATAATGTATTTGCATCATCTGTGTGCGGGAGAAGGCCACACAAGAGCCTGCCACACCAAATCCAGCTGAAAGATGGTTTAAATGAGTCAAATGATTAGAAAAATATATTTATTGTTAATCTAATCCTTGCATCCAAACACCTCTTAGGCTAGAGTTAGTTCAGGGCTAGTCTAGAGTTAGAAACTAGCTCTAATCTCTAGCCGAGCTAGAGTATCAAACAGGGCCAAAGTCCATACCAGAACCAGACCGAGCCGCAGGCTGGGCCCTGGGTCGACTGCGTCTCCGGCAGCAGGCAGCAGGCAGCAGCCGCCCCAGCTGAGGCAACGCATCCAAAGCTCCGCCACTCCGGCGAGGGAGCTGAGCCTGATCTGCTGCGAGCCTACCATGTGCATGTGCTCCGCACCACCGGCCGTGAGCCGTGGCTCCATCTCCGTCGTCGATGACCCGTCCGGGCCCCGGCGTCGTGGACGCGGAAAGTACAAGCGGGGCACGTGAAGCGCCACGCCTTTTTTTTTTCAACCGATCGATGGAGCCCCGGCGGGGCCGCGGGGCTGTCAGCTGTGGGCTGTGGCAGTGCCAACGAGGAGGAGCGAGCTTTTCTGGAGAGTTCCCCCGTTCGTTTCCAGCCCGGCCGCCAGACCCAGACGTCGTCGCCATTAGTGGCGGGGGCGGGCACCAGTGCGCGTGAGCTGGCCACTGACAGGCACGCACGGACGTTGCAGGGGATCCCTTCTGATCGATCTGCCTCCCGGCTGGCTCGTTTCTGCTGCTTCCACGGCAAGGGAAACTAGCTCGCTTGCCCATGCATGCTAGCTAAGCTAGAGATCAATGGCGATCGAGGTTTACATTACGTTACACGAAACCGGTCGCCCGTGTGTGGGCAACTGACCAAACACATGCATAATGCATCCGTCATCGTAAAATGTAATTGTACAATCTATCAAGTAGCTATGTTTTTTTTCGTAAATTTGACTATATTTATTTATCTCCTAATATATTATATTCTACTATTAAATTAACAGTATATATTACATACCATAAATATTAGTAGCATTTATATATATAATTTGTCAGACTTAAAAAATGATTTTCTTCTTGGGTGTGTCGTGGAATCGGGGTGCATGTGCATGCTTTGCTTGGATAGAGATTTTAGATCCGTTCGGTTTATTCATATTCGGTTTGTTTGGCTTATTTTTTTAGCTGGAATAGTATTTTTTTCTCTCACAACAATTCAACTAGAACAGTGTTTTCAACCGCCAGTTTCAGCCAAGATTCAGCGAGCCGAACGGATTAATTATTCCTTCCTTGGGGAAGGGATTTTTTGCACATGCACACTGTGGGACTCTCGACTGTATGCATTGCGCCTTATCAAAGTGTGGACGTACTGTTCACTTCGTACTATCAAAGGGAGAAGAATATATCGTTTAGGTCTTGTTTGATACATGTGTATTCACTTCAATCCACATGTATTGAAGTGGAATGGAATAAAACGTAGTTCAATTCTACTCTAATCTACTTTAATACATGTAGATTAAGATAAATACATGTGCATCCAAATAAGACCTTATATGTGTACTTGATCCTATTCATTCCCAATAACATTGTCCACGAATTCATTCCTTGCACGAATTATTGAGTCTTCATTCTCTCTCGCGAACCATGTACGGTTTGCCAACCAACTGCAACGTAGCACCCGGTTTTAAGAACAAAATCAGATACACATCATACGTGAGTCCAGAAAGTCAAATCTCATATATAACTACAAATAAGGGTAATATCAATAAACAATGCTCAATATATAATGTACTTAGTATAAAGAATATAACCTTCGATAGCAAACAGCGGAAAGACAACTCCGATCTTCGGGTGAAGACTCTAATTCCACAGAGACAACTGACTAGTTGATCATAAGCCTAATTCCTCCAAACTCTAGCAACCTGTTACCTATCAGGGATTTTTTCCAAAGATTTAAAAAGTAAAGCAAGCGTAAGTACATGTCGTACTCAACAAATATAGCATGGGGTTCATGAGGCTCAAAAGGCTGACACTGGTTCAACTACGATTAGCTTTTAATAAGTCATAATTTTAAGCAATTGAGTAGCAACAAGTTTATCGCAGCCCATGTAAATACATGATCAGGTAAACATGAATAATGAATAGCATAAACGGTAATCATTAGTTAGCATCTTCATCATCAGTATCATCCGTGTTCATCATCTATTCCGTAAGGGTCCAAGACCACTCGTGACCGTGAGAACGACTGATATACCAGTTTTACACTCTGCAGAGGTTGTACACTTTCACTGTGAGTCGTGATTTACCCTTTCGCCCAAGGTAGCTAATCTCTTGACCCACTTCTAAGGAAGGTCGGTAGGGTTCACTATGAAGCCTTTCAAAGGTTTGTCTAACAACTTAGGGCCATTAGATTCACTCAGCAAATAGATATAGGAACCCCCTGTCGAATGGCACAATGACACGCAGCCTATACACATAAGAGTAGAGGTTGTCCTATACCTGATTTGGCAAGCCATTCTTATGCCATAAAGGTAACCTCTAACAAGCTAGAAAATGTTCTCATACTGAGCTAAAGCCAGAGCCATATAGCCCTCACAGTTGTACTATAAGTCCCGGATATTCGCTTACAAATAAGTCCTTAGGGAGAGAAATCTATAGCACCATAAAAATAGCCCAATGCTCTAGCCCCCTTGTTTCATGTTGCTAAAAAGCATCTTTTAGTGTTTATTGCATATACCATTAGTCAAGTTACAAGATCATGGTTGTAGTTAGCACTAGCATCATACTACCCAATGCAATAAACCATAGAAATCAAGGTACAAGTAACAAAGTACTAGAAAATCATTAGTGGTAGTCAAGGTAGACACATACAGTATGAATTAAATGATTAAAGGTGTATTGGTCAACAAGGAAGATCCCATGCTATACTTGCCTTAAACTCAGATCTTCTTCTAGTGAATTGTAACATCCAAAGGACTTCTTCTGAATCACCAACTTCTTCTATATCACCAACGCAAAACTCACCGACCGGACATGATCATAAAGCACCATACAAGCATCCATGCAATCATACACGAAGCAAATAATAGAACTAAATTAGAATAGTACACCAGACATATGAAACATCGAGTGAAAAGGTTTTAAAGATGTTCTACACGTTGCTACGAACACACAGACGCGAAAAACACTCTAATTGGAGCTATAATGAACAAGTTATGAATTAAACAAGATTTCCTTTAATAAAATAATAGATTAAATCTAATCTCGAATTTCAAAAGTTGAAAATATATTTAATAGTAGGATAAACATGTAAACGGTTGGATTTAAGCCATACGATCGAGATTGGA